ACCAGTGCACAAAAACTTTGAAGCCGTATGCCTTAATCCAGATGTTCTTTGGGCAGCACTTGTTAGCCTCCCGGTATAGTGCTGGTCTACCAAGTTGTAACCAGGTCACTAATAGGCAAGTTAATTAATACCGCTACACTATAAAAAACAAAACAGGTTAACTGAACGAAAGCGCCTATACTGCCGACAACCAATACATGTCATCATCCCAGAATGCATTGTGTGCGAAAAAACATGGCTGCTCCCACAGCTCCAAAATGGTTTTAAACAACAAAGATTTAATGAATAACAAAACAATTGTAGTTATTCTCAAGTATGTTTTTATGTAGTGGAGATAATTTGTAACATATTTAGAGTAACTTGTCATAATAGTCGGGGTTCCTTTTAAGAAGGCCTGCTAAGCCAATCGACCTTTATAACAGGCAAAGGTAGCACTCGTTTTGTCTCTCTTTTTTTCCAATGCAGAAAACTGAAACATTTTTATTTTTAATAATACAACCTATTAATGGTATAACCGTAGAGGAAAACAAATCTTTAAAAAAGCACCAGAGACTAAACTATTTGTGAAGAGTCAAGTACAAAGAACCCAAACTGCACAGTACTAGAGCAGAACAATGTCAAAATTTATAGAAATGTATAAATTAGGGCACAGTAAAGAAAACATGAGATTTGTTTGATACATTGTGGATCTGTAGCTGACAGTTGATACCTAATGACCTTAGGCTAAGGTCTTGCAATGTTCACATTGTGACAGTTTGTGAACAGTTTGCTTTGTCTTTCATTATCTAAGAAAGCACCACCATGAGTAGATGTCACCAAGGACAGTGTTAATCTGAGTGGTGAAACTAAAGGCTATGAAACATTTGGGGAAATTCCTAACACCTGCCCTAACATCAATAAAACTTTCATATGCAACTGTCGGTTTTCTGCCTCAACAGGGAGAGTGAACCTTCATGTAACCACAACATTCCCTTGTTTACTACTACATACTACAATAAAAGCACATAATCTGTCATTGTGATGACTAAGCGCACACCTTGATCACACTGAGATTGACCACTTTAGGGTCCAAAGGGTAGGCACTGGTGTACCACAGGAAGGTGGTGTTCTGCTTGCGCTCCTTGGAGACACAGTGTTTGGTTTCCATGGACTGCATCCCAGTGGATATCACTATAGGTCAAAGATAAGCAACCTTTAACACCTAAAGAGCCATTTGGACCATGTTTCTATGGAAAAGAAAACACCGGGAGCCGCAAATACTTGTTGACATCAAAAATAAAAATAACACTGTACATATTGTTTTTTTCGAAAGTCTCTTTTTAATTAAGAAGCTGCACTTAAATTATCCATGTATCAAACAAAAATTGTTGTAAGCCATCATCATTATATCTCCTTTGGGCTTTCCCAGGCTATAGTGGAGCCTTGACCTGAATTCAAAAATATTTGGAAAAAAGCACTATGCTACTAAAAAATTAAACATAAATATTTGCAAAATAACTGCATAAATATTCATTTTACCTGGTTACTGTGTGTGGTGGGGCGTGGCCTGCAGGGGAGGCGGACGCACCTGAGTGGCATCTGCAATCACATCTCGCCGGATTAAAGTCTGTATTTGTCGGGCTGTGAGCTTGAAAGCTAAAGCCAGCTGTGTGTGCACAGCAACCGTGTGAGAAAAGTGGTCAATAAAGAGATGCTGCTGAGCGTGTTCGTGCAAACATCGTCAGGTCTACCGTGGTATGTTTACAATGGGACTTTTGCCCCTAAACCTCTGCGCAAAGCATCTGCAAATCGGGGCTTTTATCTTTACGCAGGACTGTAAGCTGTCGTCTGTGAGGTCTGAGCAGTGTTTGTTTTTAACGTAGTTTATGGTGGAGAACAGCTACTCACTTTGTGGATCCGAACATCGACAATCCACAAATTAGGCTTACTGATAGGCACCTCTCTGCCCAGGCATCATTAAATATTCTAGTTTCTTCAAATATTTTTCTTTTGTTACATTTCTCCATACAAATAAAAAAATAATTCTATTTATATATTATAAGATTACAATAATCTAATTTAGAACTACAAGTTAAGAAAAAAAAAC